TTGTGTGTTGAATCTAAAAATGTGGGCTTTGTGTTTTTGTATGTCATTTCATAGTACTTATTATTCACCAAAAAATTGTTATCTTGGAATGTTATATCTTACAAGGGGGGGGGGGGGAAAGACTCTTTTCAATTGCATTATAATCAAACCTATAACCATGTCATTTTAAGTTCTGCCATTTACGAACAGTCATTATTTTATTCTGATTCATTTGCAAATATGTTATATCCTTAGAAAGATCCATGAAAAGGACTCTGACTTACTCTAAAAGTACAAATTTCTAAGCAGATCATATCTTCAAAGTAGACAAAGATGTATGAAACTCTAAGAAATAACTGGAATCAAGAAATTACTGCAAATAATTAGAATAAACAAAAAATGATTATATGGGACTGAATGAACTAAGAATAATTAATATTTTTATGACTTTGTTCAAAACGTTGCTTATTTTTAAACCTTTTTTTTTCTAAATAAGGAAGCTTATTTTTTTCTCTAGAGCAATTTGGTAAATTATACCCTCATAAGCAATATTAATGTTTTATTATTTTCATAGCAGTATATTTGTTTGCATGAATCCAATGAGAATTTGTTTTCTTCATAATAGGACACATAAAACCAATTTCCAATTGTGGTTTTAATAACCAAGACTTGACTGGAATGGCATGTTTGAGAGAGACATGCCTGGACTTTTGGATGTCATCAGAAAGCTTTAGGAATGCATGGTTCATGGCAGTCTTTCCAAGTAAGAAATAAAGGTTGCTTTCCTGGGAGATGGCAAAGAAAGAACCTCAAGACTTTTGGGGGACCTCGAACTTGAGAAATTCACCCTTAATCTATAGGTATTGCAGAAAAAGCCTGATGGCAACTATGTGGCAACTTCTTTGCTCTGAGGTGCTAATTAAAGCTCAATCTGGAGATTTTTTACTGTATTCCAGCAAAGCAGATTTAAGAAAGCCTATGTGATCAATTATTGTTCTTGTTATATTTATGCAAATAATCAGGCCAAATTGAAAGTGGGCTTAATGCAGTAAATAGTTTTGATTTGGCTATCCTTTTCTACATAATTATTTTTTTATGAACTTTTCCTATTTTTTAAAAAATATATTTTATTGATTTTCTTTCAGAGAGGAAGGGAGAGAGATAGAGAGCTAGAAACATCGATGAGAGAGAAACATCGACCAGCTGCCTCTTGCACACCCTGTACTGGGGATGTGCCCGCAACCAATGTACATGCCCTTGGCCGGAATCGAACCTGGGACCTTTCAGTCTGCAGACCGACGCTCTACCACTGAGCCAAACCGGCTTCTGCCTTTTCTACATAATAAACCCTAATATGCAAATCAACTGAACAGGGGAATAACCGGCTGTAAGACACCAGTCATTATGATGCGCACTGACCACCAAGGGTCAGACATGCACGCAGGAGCTGCCCTAGGTGATAAGTTTGCTCCCAAAGGAGGAGTGCTGCTCAGCCAGAAGCTGGGCTCACAGCTGGCGAGTGCAGCAGCGGTGTTGGAAGCTTCCCCCACCTCTGTGGCAGTCAGACATCCCTCTGAGGGCTCCCAGACTGTAAGAGGGCTAGGCTGAGGGATCCTCCCCCACCCCTGAATGCAAGAATTTCATGCACCAGGCCTCTAGTAGCATTATAATCCCTTTTAAATAATTCAAAATTTAAGATTCTTCCTCTGGAGGAAAATCAGTAGAAAGAGAAAATTTGTATGTGAAATTTGACATTTGGGTGCCAAATTCCCAACATTTGCTATCATTGTGGAATAAACCTATGTCAAATTTAATATCCTTAGGAAATCTTCACCCACTGTAGAGTGCTATCTGTTCTTGTAGCAAAAAATACAGCTAAAATATTTTTGCAATGTCAAAAATATTTTTATAAAACAGATGATTACTTTTTTAAAATGTTTTTATTTTCGCCAAAACCGGTTTGGCTCAGTGGATAGTCGGCCTGTGAACTGAAAGGTACCAGGTTCGATTCCGGTCAAGGGCACGAACCTTGATTAAGGGCACATCCCCAGTGGGAGGTGTGCAGGAGGCAGCTGACCAATGTTTCTCTCTCATTGATGTTTCTAACTTTCTATCCCTCTCCCTTCCTCTCTGTAAAAAATCAATAAAGTATATTTTAAAAATAAAAATGTTATTTTAATCCTACCAGAGGATATGTTTATTGATTTTAGAGAGAAAGAGAGAGAGATGCTGCCATTGCAGGTGGCCCAGTGACCCATAACGTGGCTTCTGCTATGGACATCTGTGTTCCAGGAGATACGGATCCCAAAGGCTGGTGCCCAGAAAAAGTACAGCTGAAACGGAAAAGGGTGTTTGAGGAAAGAGACATCCTTCCAGAGGACGGCCAGCAAGACTGTTCCAGTAACAGAGGCCTGCGGCTACCAAGGTTCCAGAGCTGTAAAGATGGTTAAAGTCTTGCTAAATAAGCTTTGCCAAAGTCCTACTTCTGCCAGACGAGGAAGGCAGCAGGGACCAGAGGAAGCGTGTGAAACTGAAGGAAATATGTAGTACTAGCATCTTGCTTTGGTATTCCAAATAGACTTTCTCTGTTATTCCCTGAAATTAGTCCACTGGCCTGCCTCCTGAGAGACTGGATTAATCTTCCAAAGCAAGGTCATCCTAAGAGGGACAGTCAGAATAGCAATTTGAATCATGCGAAGCTGAACACTAGAACACAGACTCTCAATGACTCAAGCAAGATATAAACAATTAATTAAGTCCAGCCTGGAACAACTGCCTATCCTTCCCTGCATGCCCCAGCAGATTTACCACTGGGTTGCCTGTGTCACTAATGCCTACCACCTCCACAACAAAGAGGGGGCAATACAAACACTTCGCTCTCATCTTCCCCCTAGATGTCCTGCCGCCCATCCCCTTCTCTGGAAGATCAGTGTTCTCATTCAAGTGGTGAGCAATGCAAGGTTGGTGCATACAAAGAGAGGGTCTGCTTCATACCACATTAATTGCTTCCCTTTCTTCTTTGGTTAAACCAGAGATGACTGTAGTTGAGTTAATTGTACTTCCCTTGAAAACAGCAAGACTCACTGAGCTATGTGTGTAGGGTCAAATACAGAGTACCACTCAGAGTTATTGCTGGTTGAAATGACTATCCTAATGGGTCTGGGCAAATGCTCAGATACTCAAGGTTATCTAACTTCATTATAAAAAAAAATATTAAGTTTAACAAAGCAAAATTGCTGCTGTCGGGGTATTCTTAGCCCTTCCCCTGGCCCTAAGAGCTAAAGAAGGTTCTGCTGTCCCCTACTCAATTTCTCCCTTTCCCACTGTCCTCCCAGCAGAGTCCTTCTTGGGGGACTCTCGTGAAGCAGAATTGAGGGGAAGGTACACAAAGAAACGCTCAAACTAGGTTGATGAAAGCTGTCCAAATCTGCATTTTTTAAGAGAGAGGCCCAGAAGCTGTGCAAGGGAAGTGAGTGGGCAAGGACACGAGGACTCTAAGAAAGTGTTTCTGTGGGTTACAGTCCATGACATTAAAAAAACACACACAAAAAAAAAAGAGAGAGAGAGAGAAAGAGAGAGAAACATTGATCAGTGCCTCCCAAACATGCCACAAATGGGATCAAACCTGCAACCTAGGTATGTGACCAGAAACTGAACCCCCAATCTTTTTTGTGCATGGGATGGTACTCCAACCAACTGAGCCACCAGCCAATGCCAACTCATAGCTTTTTATGTTACTAACTTAAATTTTATTCAACTGAATTTTTTAAATATATTTTATTGATTTTTTACAGAGAGAAAGGGAGAGAGATAGAGAGCTAGAAACGTCGATGAGAGAGAAACAGCGATCAGCTGCCTCCTGCACACCCCCTACAGGGGATGTGCCTGCAACCAACGTACATGCCCTTGACCGGAATCAAACCTGGGACCTTTCAGTCCGCAGACTGACGCTCTACCACTGAGACAAACCGGTTTCGGCTATTCAACTGAATTTTAACTTACTTAACCAAAAGCATGCTGGTTAAATAAGATGAATACATCTAATTCACCTTAAGGAATTTAAAGAATGTTGCAAAATATGCCTTCAAACATTACAAGAATTTGAAAATGGCTAAACCCAAAGGAATTAATATTAGCATTAATTCACTTTACACATTTGCAAATTTTATTTTATTATTTCCACATCTATAATGCATTAGGTACAACAGATATTTTTGAGCCCTTTATACAGTGAACAGATGGTGAACCATTACAAAATTAGGAGATAGGGTAACATCCTAAAAAATTATTAATAATCTTGCTCTATAGACTTGGACAACAAAGATAATGAGGAATTAGAGTGAGATCCCTGGGAGATGATTTGGGGATGGTCACAAAAAGAAATGGGAAAAGGGATCACAGTAACAAGTGAGATTATATTAAAGCTCTTAGAAAAAAACAGATTAATCTACCAAAAAGAACAGATGTCATATAAAAGGAAAATGGATGCTTATGATAGAAAATAATGCTCTAAAAGAAAAGTTTCACTCTTAATCTGCTAAATATATTCCTAAAACCCCAAAACAAAGTCAATATCTAAGTAAACCTGGGACTTAGTATTTGGCATAGTTTCTAGCAAAGTAATAACTAACAAATGAATCCAATTATGTCAGTTCACAAGAGATAAAGAAAAAACATCAAAAGCAAAAACTAAAAAAGTCTTTCTTAATCATGTTGGTGGTTACATATGCAAAAACAAACTATTCAGGGGAAAATGGCTATGTAAAAGAGACAAGGAAGTCTAGCAAATAGAGCACAGAATGTAGTCCTGCTCCAAAAAAAGTCATAATGTTTAACAAGTCAGTGTACAATTTCCAGAGCTGAAATAATGTAGTCTCAGTTGAATCTTTTGAGAAAGTGATAGAGCATTAATAAACAATACAGTGTTTTCTAAAGAGAAAAGGGATTTTTACCTTTTAAAAAGAGAACATTTTGATTTATTAACAAAGTTACTTCAATATTAACTGTGAAAAATGGCTTACCTTTCTTCTCTTAGAACATAAGAAGCTGACAAAACCACATGATATTTCCAAAGAAAGATATTATTGCTTGATCTGGGTCATTGAAATAATCAACTGTTCAAAATGAAACAAAAGAAAAGGATAATATTAATTATCTATACTTACATATTTTCTTTGTTATTAACATGAAACATCTATACCAATAAAAGGGTAATATGCTAATTAGACCCGAAGACCTTCAAGATGTCCTTCCAGACAAAGCCATGGTGGCAGGGCCGAGACAGAGGCAGTGAGGGGCACTCAGGCTAGGAGGAATGGGCAGTTAGGAGAGAGCAGGCCGGCAGGTGGGGGGACAATTGGGGGAGAGCAGGCCGGCAGATGGGGGGGGGCAGTTGGGGGTGAGCAGGCTGGCAGGCAGAATGGTTCAGGGCAATCAGGCAGGCAGGCAGGTGAGCGGTTAGGAGCCAGCAGTCCCCGATTGAGAAAGGGATATCTGACTGACGGTTTAGACCAGCAGTCAGACATCCCCCCAAGGGGTCCCAGATTGAAAAGTGAGTAGGCTGGGCTAAGGGACACGTCCCCCCCCCCCCTGTGCACAAATTTCGTGCACTGGGCCACTAGTCTATTAATAAAAGCCTAAACAACCATTACAGCACTGGAACTACCAGTTGCTTTGATACACACTGTCCAGGCATTCAACACAGGAACTGCCCCCTGGTGTTCAGTGCACTCCACAGGGGGAATGGCGGCTCAGCCAGAAGCCGGGCTCACAGCTGGGGAGTGCAGCAGTGGTGATGAGAGCCTCTCCTCCCTCCACAGTAGTGCTAAGGAGCAGTGAGCCGAGTGGTAAGAAGGCTGCTGCTAAGAAGCAGTGAACTGAACAGTAAGGAGCGAGCAGGAGGCAGTAAGGAGCAAGGGATCCTGGATTGCTAGAGAGATGTCCCCCAAGGGGTCTCAGACTGCAAGAGTGCACAGGCCAGGCTGAGGGACATCCACCCTCCTATGCACAAATTTTGTGCACCGGGCCTCTAGTACTATGTATCTCTTATAAAACCTGATAAGGCCATTCAAATGAAATATTAAAATACTTGTCCCCAGGTTTGAAATCTCCAGGATTAACTCCTTTGAAACAAAGACAGGACAAATAATTAACTCTATTTAAACAATTCTTGATCACTCAATATCAACAGGTTATTTTTAATTTTAAAAGTTTTCTTTAATATTTACCATTATTACCCACACATACACTTATGAATCAGGTAATACAAAAAGATCCCACTGTACCTTTTTTTAAAGGGTGGGGACAGGGTCTAGGACAGAAATATCCCAATCAGCTTCAAGGACAAAAAGCATGTTCCACACCAAATCATATTTACAGTTCCTCATCTAGAATTCAACTAACATATAACTGCAGCAATCAGCCAAGCTTAGCGAATTAAAATAACAGTAATTTTGACAGATTACCTTCTATAAATATTCAAATATGGACATTTATGTGCATGCAAGGGTCTCTATATGCCAATCAAAATGCTTTGTTTAGGATCCTAAAATTGAGCTTTCTTTCTCACCCTTCTTTTTTGTAGGAGTCTCCCAAATCCTTAACTTTCATTTTAACTCTTTCACCTCAGCTGACAAAGAGAACAATATTGCTCTATTTATAGCTTGAATTATTTTTAAAAAATATATTTTATTGATTTTTTACAGAGAAGAACAGCGAGTTAGAAACACCAATGAGAGAGAAACACAATCAACTGCCTCCTACCTGCACACCCTCTACTGGGGATATGCCCACAACCAAGGCACATGCCCTTATCGGAATCAAACCTGGGACCTTTCAGTCCGCAGGCCAATGCTCTATCCACTGAGCCAAACCAGTCAGGGCTAGCCTGAATAATAATCCATTGCCTGAATTAAAATTTTAAGGATAACAGTCATATAAAGCGTCAATACAAAAAAAGAAAAGTGCCTAGAACCTTTGAAAATCTATCTATAAACACAAAAAGAAAGACCCAGTAGTGGTGGAGGGAGGGGTCAGAGACAGGATCTTAAGGAATGGCAACTGAAAAAGGGATTAACATTTTATTCATGGAATCAGATATGCCTTGGTATAGTAAACTGCAAATGCAAAAAAGAAATGAACAACTTCATAAATTTGAGCTACATTCAAAGTTCTATTAGGATAGATTACCATTTATTTGGCTCAAGACAAGATGCTATATTTTGAAAACAAGTTTAAGTATATGAAAGTGTCAAAGAAGGGAAATAACAATTACAGTTTTAACTTCATGGGTTTAAATTTCACGTGTCTAATTATATGCATTATTTATTCAATAAATACTAAAAATGTATATTCTCTTCCTTGCAATTTTAATAACATTTTCTTTTCTCAAGATTACTTTATTGTAAGAATAAAATATATAATACACACAAGGTATAAAATATGTGTTAATTAACTGGTTATGCTATCAATAGGCTTCCAGTCAACAGTAGCTAAAGTTTTGAGGAGTAAAAAGTTATAAGCAGATTTCTGACTGCATGGAGGATTAGGCAATCCAAACTCCCACATTGTTCAAAGGTCAACTGTAAAATGAAATTCAAACCAAATGCAATTTGTGAAATCCACAGATAGTCCTTTTAATCAAGACAAGTCTTATGCATGGATTTGCTCATTGTCCTTCTATCCTATCTTCTATTAGTCAGTTTCCCTTAAACATATACACAATTACTGACACTCTGTATCTAGGACAGTATCATAATTATGTAAGAAAAGTCAACTTATTCAGAGGCATATGCTGGACTGTTCCCACCTGAAAAGAAACAACTATTAACACCTCTACTGAGATTTATCAAAATATTTCTAGAAGGTTAGGAGGACTTATAAGAAACTCTTACTTTATGATCACTCACCAATCAACCACTCAAACCCAGGTCCAACAGTGATTCCAAGCCAGACCAGTGGTTCTCAAAGCAGGAAAGGGAGAAGAAAAGTTTGGTCTAGAGACCAATAACTTCAGACTACCCTGAGAGCTTGTTAGAAATACGGAATCTCTGGCCTTATCCAGAGAAATATTTAATCAGAATCCGAATTTTAACAAGATCCCCAAATAACTCATATACATATTAAAATTTGAGGAGCTCTTTAGGAAGAAGAATATTAGAATGAGAGAGAAGGTATAATATTCTGTTCAAAGAATAGTTCCCACTGCAGGCTCATATCTGACTAAAAACCAACCTATCTTTAACCTCTGATTTATAACATCATTATTCCTGCCACAATTTTTTCTGTCTTTTTAAAAAAATTAAATAAATAAATAAATAAAGTATCTTAAAACACAGAAACTTCTCAAGACCCAGAGAAATGAGCATCTAATGATTAAATCTCAGGTCCTAAGAAATGCTGACAGAGTTGCCTTAGAGCAAGTGGTTCTGTCTCATGCTCCCAGATCACATTAACTAAACAAGTTAATTTAAAAATAATAATAATTCCTCTCATTCCAAATGCTAGACACTAAGAGCATGTGGGGTCCCAGTGGCTGAGAAAGAGACCAAAAAACAAACAAAACAAAAAAACCCACAAACAAAACAAGACAAAAGCCTATACCATCTTGTAAGCAGAGAGAAGAAGGCTGTAAGTGCTGGTTATTCAACTACTATCTCTCAGCTCCAAATTCACCCAAAATACACAGGTCAGTAATGCTAAAATTAAAAGTCTAGAAACCATTTTTCTCCTTTGCCAACTATCAATAGCTTTCTCATACTACCAATAAGGGTACTATCATAGAAAGAGAAGCTTGCTTTTCCCAGTCAGTATAGCTATAGCATAAGCCCTCAATCCCAGTGACAGCTGTTGGTGACAGCCACCAGTGTTCTCTGACACTCACAGAAGTATCAGCAACATCTAGGCAGTAACCTCCTCCAAATCTACTCCAACCTCTTCTTTGATCCCCCAGCCCTACAGGTTGTTGCTGCTTTCTATAACTGTTGTCTGTGTTACTCCAGTGTTCCTCTTTTGCTTTTTTACCCTCCAACACCTATGAAACCCATTGCCTAGTCTAAATTTTGTTAGTGTACCTAGTGTGGATTGTTCCCCTATCCAGAGTCTTACTGATACAGCATGGCTAGATGGAATAAAATTCAGCATGAACTTGATCCCTCTGGGAAACTGTTTTTCTAAAACATGACAGTCCATGAAAAAAATATATATATTTACTGCCACTCCCTCAAAATAGGTGCAAGATGTGAAAACAAATGCAAGAAGTACAGTTGGGAAAGAAGAAAGAGGGAACACAATCTAAGAAAGTAATACAGGCAATCCTCCAGTTACAGTTCAACATACGACATTTCGCGGTTACCTCCCCATCTCCCATTTATTTATAAAAATAAAAAAAGTTCCATCATTCAACATATGTACATATGTGCTTTATTTTTTTTATTATTTATTCACCACAAGTAAAGGTCAGGAATTTTTATCTTTCTTTTAAATTTATTTTACTGTTTCACTTCATTACTACTGTGTATGTGCTCCATGTGAGTGACGTAGGTGCTTATGTAGGTGGGTTCCAACTTACAGCGAAAATCGCGTTATATCGAGTGACCTGGGGATGGATATGGATCTCCAATGTAGCTCGAGGACCTACTGTATATTGAAAGAAATACCATAGTAGAAAGGATATTTTAGCCCCAAAAACATAACGAAAGGGCAAATAAAAAGTCTAAAACAAATGCTTCCCCCTAAAGTAGTACAAATCAGGGTTTGAAAAGTAGAAGGAACTTTATTCTTCTGCCTCTGCCATTGTTCGGTTTTGTTAAAGCAGTTTTATATTGAGTGTGAATTACTTTTAGGACAGTATTGAGAAATTAGGGAAAATTCAAAGATCTCAAAAATGATGAAAGCAATAGGAAATAGAATCTATAAAGAAAGGTTCCAGGAGTCATACTTTTTAGTCTAGTCTAGTGAAAAGAAAACTTCAAGGCAACAAAATAACTGCCAGCCAGTTTAAGAGTTCTGACCAGCTCAGCTTCATCATTCTTACATGTGTTTAAAATGATAGAAGGTAAATAAATATAAAATGGAGCCTCTGAGCTTACTGACTCTCCTTCAAAGCAGAGTTCTT